GGGGGGGGGGGCAGAGATACCCTCCGAGGGGGCAAACAGCTTGAGGGTGGGTGTGGGTGTGGATTAATTCTAATGCTCACACCCACACCCACCCTTTAAATCTGCAATTTCCTCCTTGCATTAACATAATTTCTATTTTTGTAAAGATTTATTTGCTGATGGAAATGATTTTTCACCGGAAACAATTGCAAAAAATCGAGATATTTATTATCAAAAACAAATTGCTGATATAATAATCAATCAAACAACTGAAACTATTTCCTTATTAACATCTGCATTACATATCAATTTAAATATTGGCCAAAGTCTAACAATAAATACATCATCAATATTTCTATCATTAGAGACAATATCAATTGAATCTCTTTCAAATAAAATTATTCAACAAATTGGGAATGCACAAATACATTTTCCATCAAATTTCAATTCAACTATTAATCATAATCAAATAGTTTCACTTCGAGTTTGTTTTCTTCATTAATTTCAAATAAATAAATTTTCATATATATTATTTTTCTAGTCAATTATGCGACCACTTGCATCAGCTGATGAATCTCAACTAAAATCACATACCAATTTGTCAACATCAATTTCATTTTCAATACTTGATCAAACTGGAAATAAAATGTCTGTTCCAGTAACTTCTAATCATCTATATGAATTTATTATTCCACATGATCCAAATGTGATTATACCATCGATGGCATTACAAAATGTTACTTCATTGAATTCTACACCTTTTCATCTTCTATTTAATTTACATTATATTAACATTACTCAATCAAATAATTTAACAATTTCTCTTCATATTGAAATACAACCATTAAATATAAGTCTTGCTTATTTATTTATTTATAAATTTGATAGTTCACCACAATTGAATAGTTCAATTAATCAAATTGCTGGATGGTCTCTTTTTTGTCCGACAAGTTAGTTATTTTTTTTCTTAAGATTAAAACTTGTAAAAATATATTTAGATTTAACAAATGATAATCTTTACACATATTTTATTGATAATCAATTAACAGTGAATCATCAATCATTCATATTTGGTTTACGAGAATTAAATTCAACAGAAATAGATGACTTTTGTTCAAGTCAATCGAGTATTAACAATCCACCAATATCAGATAGACCATTTAATTTTACATCAAATTATCAAGTTCGTACTTATATATCAGGTTGTTATTATTTCGATTCAGATAATAATTGGCAATCAGATGGGTTATTGGTGAGTATCTTTCTTTTATCTATAGTATAGCAAAGGAACGTATTTTCATTTGATATAAAGGTTGGATCATTGACAAATCATATGCAAACTCAATGTTTATCAACAAATATAGCAACATTTGCTAGTGCTCTTCTTTTTTTACCATCACCAATTAATTGGAATTATGTTTTTGCAAATGCTGATTTTATCAAAAACAAAACAATTTATTTAACTATTATTTGTATTTCTTGTCTTTATATTTTATTAGTTATTTATGCACGTTATAAAGACAAAAAAGATATTGAAAAAGTAAGAAAATATATTTTATATAGAAAATAATTTCTGACAAATCAAATCATTGTTTTAGTTAGGAGTAACAATATTACCGGATAATTATAAAAAAGATCAATATGCTTATGAAATTCTTGTATTTACTGGTCATAGAAAAGATGCCGGAACAAAATCAAAAGTTCAATTTACAGTTACTGGTGAACATGAACAAACAAAAGTTCGAACATTTTCTGATCCAAAACGAAAGATTTTTCAACGTGATAGCATTGATGCATTCATTATGACTGTTCCGAAGTATGTATATTCATTTTTCGTTTAAATACAATTGTTTAAAAATCGAATTAAATTTAGATCATTAGGATCATTGAATTATATTCATATTTGGCATGATAATACTGGTGGAGGTTCTTCATCATCATGGTTTCTTAAATATATAATTGTTTGTGATTTACAAACATTAGAAAAATCTTATTTTATTTGTCAACAATGGTTAGCTGTAGAAGAAGATGATGGACGTGTAAGTGTAATTTCGAAGATTTCATGTCGAATATTTTTCATTCTTTTTAAATATAGATCGATCGTGTTTTACCAATTGCAGGTGAATTTCAAAAACATGAATTTTCCTATCTTCTGTCTAAACGAGTATATCACAATATATCAGAAGGTCATCTTTGGTTTTCAATACTTGCTCGGCCACCATCATTTGAATTTACACGTGTACAACGTTGCACTTCTTGTTTTACTTTGTTATTTATTTCAATGCTTTTAAATATTCTGTATTATGATCAACTAGCAACAGTAAAACTATTGGGTACTAATGCTACTGGTTTTTCAATTGGTCCTTTCTACATTACTCTAGAGCAGGTTTATTTTCTTGCTCGACCTAATCCGCATCTTTAATAGATATGTTTTCTGTTTTTTTTATTTAGATTGAAATAGGTTTTGTAGTTGAATTACTAACATTGATCCCAAGTTTGTTTCTTGTTGCATTTTTTCGACGTATTCGTCTTCGACCATCTCATCAACAACAAGTTCACTCATTATATCAGAGTCGTTTTAAAATAAAACCACATGCAACACTGTAAGTAATCGGTTATGTAATTAATTCTATTTCTATGTTTTCCTTATAGTAATACGATGGTCAAAGATGATAAGAGAAAATCGAAATTAACATTTCCATGGTGGTGTATTTTTATTGCATATAGTTTATCATTTTTATTGGCTGCTGTGTCGATATTTTTCATAACTGTTCGTGGAATTGAATTCGGTGATTTAGAAACTCAAAAATGGTTAACATCATTAATAAGTAGTTTCTTTTCATCTATTCTTCTTATTCAACCAATGAAAGTAAATTAGCTCTTTTTTTTTCTAAATATTTAATTATGATTTTATTCTTTTAAAGATTCTTTTGATATCAGTACTTTGCGCTTGTTTTGTTCGAAATTCAGATGTTGATAAAGAAGCAGCTGAATATTTAGATGACAATTTTAATATTAATTTAAATAATGATGAAGAATATCTGCATTTCATTGAAGTTTGTTTCATTATTTCTTTTGAAAATGATGAATAATTGTTTTTTTTCTTATAGTATTATAATTCCCCTTTTTCTCATCGACATTACACAAATATATCACGTCTTGATAAAAGTGAATTAGTCTTAGTACGTTATCAACGTTTGCAAGAAATGAAAATGTGGAAAATAATACGTGAAATTTTAATTTATCTATGTTTTCTTTGTGTTTTAAATATCTTTGTTTATTCAAATACAAATTCAAATGGATTTGATCAAACGAATCATTTAAGAAAATTTCTTTTAAATTCAAGACAAATTAATCAAGATTATACAAAGGTGAGTAGCTGCCTAATTGCTTGAGTGTGTCCGCAGGGTCAAAAAAACATCGAAAATCGATTTTTTGAAAAAGACATTTCTAGAGGTTTTTCGATGCGGGAAGTTTGAATCTAAGGTCTGGTAGGTGACCATGGCGAGGGGAGAGGTAAACAGGGGTCAAAGGTCAAAAAAACATCGAAAAACGGTTTTTCCAGTAAATGTGAAGAAAATGCATTTTTATGAGAAAGAGCTAAGCGAGTCTTCGGACGAGCGTTACTTGTTTTAATTTAATAATAGATTTCAACAATAAATGAATATTGGAATTGGTTAGAAAATAGTTTTGTTTCGAATATTCATGCTCAGCAATGGTATAATGGAAACTTACCGAGAAATTTAAATGGTTTTATAAATGATAAAACAAATCGAATGATTGGATGGGCAATAATAAGACAATTACGCATTAAATCACATCCATGTCAAACTAAACAAAATCTTTTCTCAATATGCGAAGATGATTATAGTTTTTCTAATGAAGAAAAACATTCATTTGAACCTGGATGGAGTAATCAAACAACACAAGTATATAGTTCATCGATTCAACAAGCATTTAAATATCAAACTGGTAATCAATTAGATTCATATGTTTATTTAGGAAAATTTGGAAGATATAGTTCAGGTGGTTATGTATATGAATTTCGAGGACGATTAATTGATCTTCAAAG